TAGGCTGCTAGGGAAGATAATGAATGAAGGAATGCATGAATGAATGGTTCAGAGAACTTGGGAAGTCTCAGAGGAGAAAAGCCAAGACCTGAATAAGCAGTGGTAGTAGCGCTGAGGTTTACTGGAGAGGAGGGAAGGAACTGAAGAGTCTTGTGGGAGCATCAAGTACAACACGGGGAAAAGGGTGTGTGTGTGCAGGGGTGGCTCTGGGTTTCTGGATGGTCACCAGGGCTGAAGAGGGTCTGCCCTTATGTGTGAGGTTCTGAGGAGGAAGGCAGGTCTGGCCTGTGAGCACCAGGAGAGCCTTGACAGGAGATTTAGGGCTCCTTTGGGGTTCACCAGACCTGTGAATTTGGGGATTTCTTCTTGTTTTGCCACAGGGAGGGTTKCCGAGTCAGTAAGGTGGCACGGAGAGCAGAGCTCATGGCCATTTTGCCAAGGGACCACAGTTCTTTCTCACATCTGCAGTCTTTGCACAGGAAATAGCAGATGGCCCAGCTGTCAGGTCTGCCACCCAGATATTAGAGGATCCAGGACTTGTTGTGTCTCCCGGCCCCTGGAACTTGGGGTGCCAAGAGCTTCTCTTCATAAATAACTAAGAGGTACCTGAAGGTCCAAGGACAAGTGGACCTTCTGTCTGCAGAATGGCCTTTGTCCTGAGATGGGACAGGACTGAAAATGGAGGTCTGCCCCAGGACTTGCTTTGCCTTCCACCAAGCTTCAGTTTCCCTATCTGAGGATTCCCCACGTCTCTGAGAAGGTGCATCTGCAGCAGAACCCAGCTGCTACTCCCTTTAATGTTTCGCCTGTCTTCTCCTTTGTCAGGCGTGCTGCCCCCACCAACCCTGGACTCCCAGCCTCCCAGGAATGTGCTTCGCAGCCCCCAATCCAGGCGCCTGCCTTATCAGCCCCCAATCACAGGGGAGACAGACGTCCCTGCTGACAATGAAAGCCCCTCCTGCTAGCCCCATCTTGACCCCAAGTGGAGGGTGGCCAGCATGCTAAATGCCTTAAGGAAGAATACCTTCCCTCCTTCCCCAAGCTGGCTTGAAACCTGACCTCCCTCCCTTCTTGGGTTCATTACCAGTCTGGTGGCGCCTGTCCTGGCGTCAAAGGCCCTGGATCCCTGCCCTGTTGCACACTGCTGCCACCAAGGGATCTGCTCTCCCTGGCCCACTTCAAATATGACCTTGGTCTGCTTTACTGGAAAACCAAGGCCATCTGAGGGGTTTCTCTCAGCCTGCCCCAAACCCCAATCTCTTAGCACTTTGGTCCAATCTCTGCTGTATTAGTGGTATTTAACAAATACCCTACACAAATGCACATCCCCTTCAGCCTGCCAGCTCTCCACTTCCCTCCAGTGGCAACCTTGACCCACTCTCATCAGGCACTGGTCCCCAGGGAACCCCCCTCAGTATCCTTGTGGGACCCTTGTGCTCTGAGTATCCTGCTCAACCAGTTCTCTCAGCTAGCTTTAGTCTCCAGGGACCTCAGGACCTGGACTAGAGGATCCCTGGTCTTATGTACAAACATGGACATCTGAGGCAGAATTCCCCACCTCGCTGACTTTATGGGCACTTTCCTTTTCTTCCTGCTTACCATTATCCTGATCACCAGAGACTTTGGCATGGCTACATCCCACAGTCCCAAGGCACACATCTCCCTGAGCTTCTCACTGCATGGTCCTTTCTGAAGCACTTCCTGGGCTCAGCTCCTAAACCTTTCCCTTCCCCCAACCTTTTGATCCTATTGGTTAGGTTTGCCTTCTCTCTCAGAGCACTAAAAGTCAGGTGGCAGGCCTGGCTTCTCTTCTCCATCTACCCTTACCCCTTGGGCATCTCATACAGGCTCAAGTTATAGATGCCATTGGTCTACTTGTGACTGACACCCACATGTGCACTGTTGACCCTACTTTCCCCAAATGCCATGCTCAATAGTTTTGCCAGTGGATGTCACAAAGATTTCTCCAAATCAATGAGGCCAGAACAGAACTCTCCATCTCTCCTACCTTCTACTCAAGTGCTCTTCCTCTCTGCAATGGCCATCACCATCTACCTACTCTGGCTTAGGCCCCAAGTATGGGCCTTGACTTCTCCTCTCACAGTCATGGATGTTATGGAGCTGGGGCCTTTCAAGATACTAAGGCAGTGTGAAGACTGCCTCTTCTAACCCCTTTCTTGCAATCAAGTCAGAAAGATTTCAGACATGTAGCTCAGAGTAATAGGAATGAGTTTATTGAAGGGATAAGGAAAAGGGAAAGGGGACACTCTCAAGGGAGAGAGCAGGTCCTCTTCAGAGGAGAGGAACAATGTGCCTCTCCTGCAGTCCAGTTTTATAGGGGATCCCAGAGAAGTTTCCAGAGAGTTCTGCCCAGGTCTACCTCTTGACTTTTGGTGGACAGCAGGATGACATCAGACTCTCAAGTCCCCACTGTCATAGCAGCTCTAGGTCAATTTGGCCCATGCTGATCAGTTCTAATTGGATTTTTTWAAAATATTTTTTAAATTGTAGGTGGACACAATACCTTTATTTATTTATATGAGGTGCTGAGGATCAAACCTAGGGTCTCACACATGCTAGGTGAGCGCTCTACCACTGACCCCAGCCCTGGATTTTTGGAAWTTTTTTTTTTTAGTTGTCAATGTACCTTTATGTCATTTTATATATATGTGGTGCTGAGAATCAAACCCAGTGCCTCACACATGCTAGACAAGCACTYTACCGCTGAGCCACAACTCCAGCCCTCTTATTGGATTCTWAMCCATACATTCTTACATATTTTATGGTTAGGAAGAACTACCCTTATCTCCCAGAGTTTCAGGACCTGGTCACAAAAAAACCTCCTGAGTTCTTCCATCGACATTATCTTGGGCCTGCATTTCTCCTGTAGTTAGCAGATAGTTAACATGATAGTAATATATCATGTTCATGTAGGCCCATGCAGGGGTACAGGTGCTTCTTGGAAAAAATAGCATGTGGAGAGTCAGCAAAAATGGGCCCATTTTATAGAATTATTCTCTTAACCTCATGTTCCCACCATCTTTATCTTTCTGTTCTCTAACAATGTCCCTAGGAAACCCTCTTTCACAGCCATATTTGGTCTGTGGGAAAAACCACCTCCACTGCTCCTGGAYCCCCAGGTTCTATCCTGCCCAAGCCACCACTGTCACCTGAAGTGTCCCTCTGCTTACTGATTCCTCTGACAATCCACTGCCCTAAATTTTTATAAGTTATAAAATACATAAAGCATAAAATTTGTTCTGACCATTTTAAGGTATATAGTTAAATAGTATTATGTAGGTATTTTCACATTCATGTGTAACAATCACCATCATTCATCTCTAGAACTTTTCAGTTTTCTCAAACTGAAATTCTTTACCCATTGAACAACAGCTTCCCACTTCCCCTCTCATTTAAGTGAAATACTACAGTATTTGTCCTTTTGTACCTGTATAATTTCACTTAGCATAATGTCTTCAAGATGCAGAATTTCATTCCTTTAGGGCTGAATAATACTCCATTTTCGTATAYACCACACTTTATCCATTCCCATGTTAATGGACACTTGGGTTGTTTCCACCTTTGGGCTGTTGTGAATATGCTAGAACATGGGTGTGAAAATAAATTACCGATTCAAGTTACTGCTTTCAATTCTCCTGGGTATGTACCCAGCAGTAGAATTGCTGGGTCATATGGTAATTCTATTCTTAACTTTTGAGTAATAGCCATACTGTTTTTCTGTAGTAGCCACACCATTTTATATTCTCAGCAATAGCACACAAAATTTTCAATTTCTCTGTATCTTGGACAGCACTTGTCATTTTCTGTCTTCTTGTTTTGTTTGTATAACCATCCTAATGGGCTATTATTATTATTATTATTWTTGATATGGTTGATTTAACCCAAGGGCGCTTAACCATTGAGCCACATCCCCAGCCCTTTTTATTTTTTTTGAGATAGGTCTGGCTAAGTTGATGAGGCTGACTTTGTATCTTTCTGTCTTAGCCTCCCAAATAGCTGGGCTTAAAGGCCTGCGCCACCATGCCCAGCCTAATGGGCACTTTAAAAAAGTGACAATCACCTCCTCACAGAGGCTTCCCTGATCACCCCCACGTAGCTGGCAGGCCACCATCTGGTCACACCCCACATTTGTCTTATTTTCTATCAGCCATTATCTCTAGCTCATTAGCTGCTGTATCCCCAGCATTTAGAAGGGCAACTAATACACTGAACATGACAGTCGAATAACTGACTGTATGAAGTTTCTTTCTTCTATCAAAATATCAAGTCCCTCTCCATCTTATCCACTTGCTCTGCCCCGCTATCCTTGTTTCCCGCCTAAGGCCACAAGTCCCCCAAACTCAGCCCCTTCCCCAGAGAGCGGCCAGGAAGATTCCCAGCAGGGGCAAACAGAGGTTAGGGAACCCTGAACGTCTGGGGGAATTTGGACACGCTACCAAGCGCCTCCTTTGCTGCGGAGTAGGTGGCCCTGCCCCAGATTCTCACAGGGTAGAACACGCCAAGATCACTATGGGGGAGGCGGGGTAGGAGGGGGGACCGGGACTAACACCTCCGGACTTCTGGTCTCACCCACCCCCGTGGCTCCGCCCCTTTCCGGCCTCGCAGCACCTGGCTCTGGTCTTTTTCTCCCTTGAGGCGGTAATCCGAGCCCCGCCCCCATGGTGGCCTCGTGGTCCTTTGCTATTGGTTCTCCTCTAGAATATCTTGAAGAGGCCAGTTCCTCATTGGCCACACTTTCTCCCGCGCCGCCACTGCAGCCACAACAACCGACACGTGCTCAACCGTGTGGCTTATTCATTGGCTAGTCGTTCCGACCCGCCCACTTTTTCTTTTCCACTTCCAACTTCTCTCTTCCTCTTTCTATTGGCTTACCAATCCAGAGCCCCTCCCTCCAGCCCGGTTACTCCGCGGCTACCACCAGGATTGGCCAAAAGCAGGAGTTAGGCGGGGCTTGGAGGCGGGCTTCAGGGGTGGGTTAAAGAGCGCGCTTCGGGACTGGCTAAGCGTGCCGGAGAAGGTTCAATGGCTTGGCAGGGGCTGGCGGCCGAGTTTCTGCAGGTGCCGGCGGTGACGAGGGCCTACACCGCAGCCTGCGTACTCACCACAGCCGCCGTGGTGAGCAGACTGGGCGTCGCTATAGTTACTGACCCTGGAGGGGAACTAGGGGGTTTTAGGGAAGGTAGCCAGGGTTAACGGCGTGGATCCCGGGGACATCCCCTGATGTGCCCCTGGTTCCACAGCAGCTGGAGCTTCTCAGCCCCTTCCAGCTCTACTTCAACCCGCATCTMGTGTTCCGGAAGTTCCAGGTGAGGCCGCCGCGTCCCTTGCACCTGCCGGCCTGGCCCCACCTGCCCSATGCCTGACTACCCTTACTCCCCCCGCCACACCTCGTAGGTCTGGAGGCTTGTCACCAACTTCCTCTTCTTCGGGCCCCTAGGATTCAGCTTCTTCTTCAACATGCTCTTCGTGTATCCTATGTCGCAAGGATCTGGGCAGGGTATGGGGGCGGGGACCCCGGGCTGGGAGAGGGGAAACTGAGGCCAGGTTGGGGGTGGCACTTCCTATACAAACGCTGCAGGTTCCGTTACTGCCGTATGCTGGAGGAGGGCTCCTTTCGCGGCCGTACAGCTGACTTCGTCTTCATGTTTCTCTTCGGTGGCGTCCTGATGACAATATCCTTCCCACGGGCTCAGGAACCTCAAGCCACAACTCCTTGAGGTCTGGCCTATGTTGACTCTGGTGCTTGACGTGACCGCCTGGGGCCAAGGAGAGGGCACAGTCATTTACTTCAGTTTAGGATGTTATTTCGCTGCCACCTTAATTGGAAGGCCGGGTGGGGTGTTGGTAGCTCTGAGCCCTGAATGCAGGTATCCAGGAGAAATGGGCAGTGGTTGGAGCCTGGGATGAAGGGGATATTATCTTGATGGGGAATGAACAACAGCAACGAGGGAAGGGGATCCAGTGGAAGGACTCTGGGGGCTAAGGAAGTCAGAGAGACTCTGGATGTAGCTGAGACTTGTACCAAGTCACCTTGACTCTGGTCCAGCTGCTGGGACTTCTGGGTAGTCTTTTCTTCCTGGGCCAGGCCCTCATGGCCATGCTGGTGTATGTGTGGAGCCGTCGCAGCCCTGGGGTGAGAGTCAACTTCTTCGGCCTCCTCACCTTCCAGGCACCATTCCTGCCCTGGGCGCTCATGGGCTTTTCACTGCTGCTGGGCAACTCAATCCTTGTGGACCTGCTGGGTGAGCCTGCCTGTCCTTTCCACTGCCCCAGGTTGGCTGGTCCTTTCTGGACATGCTGCTCTGCCTCATGGCATCCTCTCCTACTTCTACTGGTCCTCTCAGCCACAGCCCTCCCAGCTCCTCAGTTCTTACAACCCCTCATGCGGCATCTTCAGGGTTGACCTGCTGATGCTTGAGTGGGTCCTGCTGGGGGAGGGATGGGTAGGTAAGGAAGAGTTCTTGCTCCATGGTTCATGCTCCCCTAGTGTTCACAGGCCCTCCTTTTCTTCCYGGGGTCCTGCCCACTTCTAGGCTCCTTAAGCCTGTCCCTGGGCTGGCAGTTTGTACAGGACATTGGGGGGTGCCCATGCTCTGAAGCCTGGGGTCACTCTGGGCCTCTGACATTCTGTGGCTTTCTCAACAGGGATTGCTGTGGGCCACATCTATTACTTCCTGGAGGATGTCTTCCCCAACCAGCCTGGAGGCAAGAGGCTGCTGCTGACTCCYGGCTTCTTGTGAGTGCTGGAGATGACTGCATACCCCTCTTTTCCCATTCCCTCCCTTCCCTTCAGGCAACTTCCACACCCTTGGGGACCTGTGCTGGCCTCAGCTCTCTGTGGATCCCTCCCCACAGGAAGCTGTTACTGGATGCCCCTGAAGAGGACCCCAATTATCTGCCCCTTCCTGAGGAGCAACCAAGACCCCATCAGCCACACCCACAGCAGTAAGCCCACCCTGGGCCAGTCTGACTCTTCTGGGATGCCTCCAACCTACCCCTAACCACTGCTTGCAGTAGAACCCATCCTGGAGTCTGGGGCCAGGATGAAAGGGCTCACCTGAATAAACAGCCTCTGGAAGCACAGCACTGGTGCCCCCTGTCTGAGCCAGCCACATCCTCTCATCCCTTTCCATGCCTGCCCTCTTTGCCCAAACTGAAGGTGGTAGGACAGGGGGCCCAGAGAAGGCAAACAATTTGCCCATGGATGCCCAGCAGAGCTTTGAGCTCACAAATGACAGACTCAGGGTTACTGTCCCAGCCCTATCAGTGCCTTGATGAAGTCTTAGGGCAAGTCCTATCTCCCTGGGCCTCTGTTCCCTGCTAATCAAGGGGGTTAGCTAGACCTTAGTGGCTGGGGCAGGACACAGCCTAGTCTGTGGTGTCTGTAGGCTCATGTCCACCTGGCCTTTCTCAACCTCACCAAAAAACCTCAACAAGTGGACCTCATTTTCCAGCAGGTGAACTGAAGGCTCTATGAGGTCAGGTGCAGAGTGCCAAGACTGTGTCTTCTGCCTCTTCTGTGACCCCAGAGCCTAGAAAACTTTTCCATTTGCAGAATCCTACGACTGGCTCAGACACAGACCTCTGGGGAATTCTGTCCCTACCATTTAGGCCGAGAATCTAGGTGAGCCTTCTCTGACCCCATATCTCCCCATATCCTCTGAATGTGTACATCAGATGCTGGCCAGGTTTCCTTGTTGCTGTATGCTTGCCCATCTTATTCGTGGATGCTCAGTACCATAGGGGCTTCTCCAGCCACAGGCAGTTAGTCATTACATTGTAATGAAACTATTCCTCATGAGTCTGACCTTAATTTTGTAGGAAAGTTGATAAAGTAGCAACTCTTGCATTAGGCTGKAGGTACTCAAAGGGTCCAGAAGCAGGTAGGACTTGGTGCACTAGTTCTTCCCAGGAAAGTGGGCCTTTCTGTCCAGCAGGGTAAGGCAGCTGGGGTTGTTTCTACCTCACCAGTTATAGTGACACAGGGCTGCCACCAGCCTCATGGAACCAGCAAACCCCTTAGCAATAGAGCTTGTTCATTTCCAGGCCAAATGGGCCTGGAATCTTGCACTTTGTTTATGGTCTCCCAGTAAAGCCTGTATGCCCTTGCTGTTTCTGGTGAATTCTACTCTTGGATAGGTTCTGCCAGAGGAGGTGAGAGGAGAGCTTTACTCAGGTCACAAGCTGCTCTCCTYCCCAGGAACAGTCATGCTCAAAGCCCCAATCCCTACTCAAGAGCTCTACCTCTGGCCTGCACAGGCTGAGGCTGAAAGCCAGGTTGCTTGGGGGCCCTATCATGTGCCCAGGGAAGACAACAGTCTCTGACCTGCCCCCAGCCCTGCCCTGACAAGGAGAGGACCTGCCAGCAGCCAAGGGTGGCAACTGCCCAGGTGGTTGGGGTCTGGGGTCATTGTTTTTAGTMAGACTGAAGCTATGTGCCCAGTTTGCCAAGCAGTGCTTGGCTCAGCAAAGAGACCCACATATGCCATCCTCATGGTGCCTAAGTCATTCTTTAGAATGGGTATAATTCCATGGTTACAGACAAGGTATGATACAATAGTCTCATCAGAAGCACAGTGGGGAGGGGGGGCTGTGAGTTGGGTCTCCTCTGTACACACCATATCAACCCTAAAAGCTAGCACTAGGCTAGGTATGTTACTCACATTCCTCACAATAGGCCTGGCTCAGGCTACAGGTGTAGACAGACCCCAGTTTAATGTGTGCCCTGGAGTTGTTCACATAAAACGGGAGAGCCTGCACTTCTTTTCTAAGGCCAAGTGAAGACAGCAGGAGCAGGTATCACTGGAAGATAGCTGAGCCCCTCTCCCGAGCCACACAATCACACTTCTCCTTTCTCTTCCTCTATAAGGACATGCTGAGCATAAGTGTCCAATAAGAAGCTGGAAGGCTCAAAGAAAAGCATATTGGGCTCTGCCTCAATGGTCTTAGAGGGTGCTGGGGTATCTTGAAAGTGGAGTTCTGTTAACCTCCATCTGTCATCTACCTGGGAATTGGAGGCAGGGAAGGGTGAAGCTTGGCATGTCAGCCTAGGCCACACAACACCCTCTTCCTCTAAGTCTGCTTGGTCCTACTCCTGGCTCTCCTATTATTTTTATGCCAAGACACTGAAGAAACTGAACATGACCTATTGCCTTTTATTTAAAAAGTGTTGCTAGCCCTGCTTGGGGCTCCTATACAAAAACAAAACAACCCAAAACGAAGCTTCTTCCTGACCCCAGACACTGGGGGAGGGTGTTGGGAGGACAGGACTGGGGCTCAGCAAATGGAATGTGTGCTGGGGGAGGGCACCTGGAGGCCTCCCACCTCTGCAGCCCACCCCACCCCCTGTCCCTTGGGATGGCACCGGGTTGTCTCCTTGCCAGAAGAGGAAGGAGAGAGGCAGTCCAATCTTCTGAGATGCTCCGTGGGAGCCAAGCACCGATGGGCTGGTCACCAGGCTGGGGCAGTATTGGCAAGACGTCTCATCCGCCTAGAGGAGGGGAGGGGATGGTCAACTGGGGCTAGTTCCAGCTCCCAGCCTTCTCTTGGCTTTGCCTGTCTGCTATGCCCGCCTCTCCAGGAACCCTGAAATCTGCTCTGGCTATGGTCAGATCTGACTGGAAATTTTGCTTTTATTCTCTTCTGGGGAACCCATCCTGGGGGACAGAAGAGGTCTCAACACCCAGGAACCTTCCTCTAGCAACATAGGTTGCTTCCAGAGCCCACAGATCACAGGGGAAAAGAGGTGGCTTGCCCCTGCCTAGATAATGGTTCCTGTGAACAGAACTGGGGCACAGGGGCAGGATACCTTGTGTTCCTGTCCTGGTCTCGGATCTTTTTTTCCATTTCAGCATCAGTCAGGGTCTCCAGCAGCGGGCACCACTGGTCAGCATCACCCGTGTTCCGGATAGCAATYTCCACCGTGGGTAAGGGATTCTCACTGGGGAGGGGAGGCAGTGAAAGGAACAATGGTCAATTCACAGAATAGGGAAGTCCCCAGAAACCATTGTTCTCCCATACCCCAGCCCTCCAAGAGGTGGCCAGCGCACAGCATAAAAGAGTAGGYCTTTTCTTACTTCTCACTTGCCTCTGCTACTAGGCCCACACAGGGGCCAAGACCCATTTCTGTGTCCTCACTCCTCACAGCAGCATTGCTGATAGGGGAAGCTGGGGGATACGCCTGTCACCTGAACCTCAAGGGAGCTGCTGGAGACACCAGGGCCTCCCCCAGCAATAAAAGCCCCACGACCCAGCAGCCTCTCTTCAAAGTCAACTCTCAACAGTTCCTTTGCTTCCTCACCATCACTGTCTGAGAGACTGGGAAGGGGGCTGTGGAAGTAATTTCCACTGACAGAAAAGTGTGGACTAGGCCAGGCTACTGTCACTGGACCATAGCTGGAAGTCCGAGGCCCGTTTGTCCTACTCTGTCCAGTGCAGTAACTCATCAGAACCCACTGATCAAGGAGACAGCATGGAGGGTGGAAGGAGGAGGCCTCTGCATCATTAACTGAGGGCTGCTGGTCTGGTCTGGTCTACTYGAGTGTTCTACCCACTTGCAGCTTAGCACACTTCATGGGGTCCACATTAAGCCCCAGAGAAACTAGCTTATTTGCTTACAGCCAGACAGTTGGCTGCCAGAACTGGAACYAGAAACCAAATCCTCGGACCATGCCCAACCCTATAATCCCTCAGAGAGCCCAGCTCCACCCTGAGGGGCTCCCTGTACCCTCCTCTGGCCAAGTGGGCACAGAAGTAGGGGTGGGGTCAGCATGGGCAAAGGTTAAGAGGGCACGGGGTTAGGCACATGGGAGCACTTGGAGAGGGAAAGGTATGGCTGAGCTGCTGTCTCACTGGGCTTTGGTTTTCAGATTTGCAACAGGAAGCTAAGAAGTTACTCACGTGTTGCGCTGAACCCCTGGCCTGGCAGAAAGACTCAGAAGAAAGCCCTAACCATAATCTTCTCCTTCCCTTCCTGGCCTTCCCCCTTGCTACTCTGGCCTTCTAGAGTTTTTTGCTCTCTCTAGCTGAGTGGTCTCCCTACCCTACTCTACCATAATCCTACCCACCCGAAGCCTGCCACTGTGCAGTGCCCATCAGCTTTAGGAGGAGAAAAAGGCAGGCAGGGTCCTAGGAGATGCCTGGCAGACACTAATGGCTAAAATAGAACAGATCCCTGGCAGGGCTGCTTGGGTTTTCATATAGAATATAGGAACAATATCTAGTGCTGTAAAGGGTTGTTGAAGGATTATCAACATTTTTTTTTTTTTTTTGTGGTGCTAAAGATCTATCCCAGGGCTTCCCACATGCTAGGCAAGTGCTATACTACTGAGCTGAATCTCTAGCCCCAAGGATTATTATTATTAAAGTAGCCAACATCCTTCCATCAAGGAAACTTCGTAGGGGCCAGGCACCTTCTCAAATGGCCTCCCTGAAGGTGATATGATTGATCAGCTGCAGAGAAGCATTCCCCTAGGGCTGACTGCAGAGCCATGGCCCCTCACCAACACACCAGCCAACACACACCCTGCACTGGCAACCAAGGACCCATTATGGCCTGGGAAGGCCAGGCTGGGAGCCATTCTCCCTAGCTTGGAGAGGGGAGGGGAAGGTGTCTCAACAACCCTGGGCCCTCCTGCCTGGGTCCAGGGTGTTGTTTGAGGCTAGTACCACAGACCAGAGCTGCCCTAGCCCCAGAAGAAATGGGCCTGACCTCTTGCTGAAGCTTAGCCCATGGGGCCCATGAGACCTAGAGGCCAGGAAGCCTGAGCACATGCTGGTGACTCAGAGGCCTAGGACCTGGCAGCCCTCACCCTTGTGGTCCCCTAGGGCTAACTCCTCCTCAACAGCTTGGTTTGGCAATCCAGGAATAGTCTAGCCACAGACCCCAAACATCATCCCTCACCTCCAGGGCTCCTGGCTGTCTTCCTTAGGAGGGCAGACATGAAAGGCACCAAGCCCACGCTGAGGGAAGCAAAACATGTTTTCCTCAGAATTTAAACAAGAGCTGATGAGCAGACCCAGAGGCTTCTTTGTTTACCTCCCTTTACTCTGGGAAGATTCCACTCCAGTGGATTTATTCTAAAATAAGAATTGTTCCAGTCAACCATGTAAGGATGAGCCTGGAGGCGGCACTAGACTGTCTCAGGTTTGGGGGGACATGCAGGCAGAGAGATGCTTCCCTGAGTTCTAAGAAGTTTGGGCCCCTGGGAGACTCCCATTCCTCCTGAGAAAAATTCTGATTCATGGGCTTTCAGGCTGCCACGGACTCTGGATGTTCCTTTCATTCTAAAGTGTCCAGGTGGGGACGAAGACACCCAGACAGGAGGGCCTTGCCTGAGGTCATAGTGGGACTGATGTTCCTTGAGTAGCTTCAGGTTTATTTTCAATGTGATCTTACTTTTGTGACTTCATATAACAAAACAGGCTCTGAAGCTGGGCATGGTGGCACATGCCTGTAATCCCAGCTACTTGGGAGTTTGAAGCAGGCAGATTGTGAGTTTAAAGCCACCAAGCCACCAACCTGGGCAATTTAGTGAAACCCTTTCTCAAAAAAAAAAAAAAAAAAAAAAAGAAAAACTAAAACTAAACTACAATGGGCTGGGGATGTAGCTAGGTGGTAGAGTACTTTCCTAGCATGTAAGAGACTCTGGGTTCAGACCTAGGGGAAACCACAAAACAACAACAACAAAAAACAACCAGATAAGTTGAGAAGCATTATTATCCTCACTGTATAAATGAGACCTGAAGGGAAAATGAAGTGTCAATAGCTTTTCCATCAGCTGGGAAGGAGGAGACCAAATTCGATGTGACTCTTACAATTGCAACCAAGCTTCCTGGATGGGTGGGGAAAGGGCAGTCTTTCATCATGGTGCTGGGACAACAGACTGGATTAGGAATGGTTTCTTAGATATGACATGGTAATTACCAAGAACACGGTCAGGAAAGTGAAAAGACATACCTCAGAATAGGAAAAACCATACTAATCATGTCTGTTAAGGGACTTGTATCTAGAC